TATATATATATATATATATAAAAATACACGTACAGCCAAGAACTGAACTGTTTTGAGAGGATTCAGAAAAACATAGCGTTTTAATTTCAGTTGTGGCACAGCCTGATGGGAAAAGGGAGGAAGAAATTACAGCAAATTTCATTTTTCTTTCAGCCACAGAAAGGGGTGCTGCAGGCACATGATACCTCTTCATTATCCACAGTAACCATGAGAAACAAAAGTAAGAAAACTTCTTTTCTCCCTGCTTTGGTGATGATCTGTATCTGCTGTTCTTGACTATTCTGACAACTAATATTCACTATTATGAAAGATAAGCATTTATCAGTGGGGATTAGAGCATCTTCTGTGCATGTTAAGCAAAATATGAGATTTCAGAAGTTGTACTGAAGTTGCTCAGAGTTCATCCACTTCTGCTGTGTCTGTGTAGCTTTAAGCAAATGTAAAGTCATCTCAGATTTAAAGTATGTGACTGCTGTAGCTTGGTGAAGGCCTGCAGCTGCTAAGTCCACAAAGTCTGGAAGATGCAGCCTATGTCCACAGGTGTCTGACACTGGAAAGAATCCAACTATGAGTATTGTATTAACAGAAATTGTTAAGATTACAAGTGGAGAGGATGTTTGTTCAAAATACATTTTTAAAATTAAATAGTCTTTTGCTTTAAAGTAGTAAAAACAGAAAGTATAATTTTGAATAGGAGCAATACTGACAAACTTTTCCTGGCCATGCTGAGATGCACACTACACTGTAGAGCTACCGGTGTGACCAAGCACATAGAATGGGAATGAAATAACCCATATGGGTTTTGTAGTGCCATGACTTGATAAGCTTATTTAATGACAGCGTGGAGATCACTACATGGAACCACACTGTGTGATAGAGGTGTACACACTCTGGTATTTATTGTGAAATTCAGAAGTATCACTACAGAAAGCAGAAGTACATCTGAAGAAGGGAAAATCTGGAATTAATATGAAGAGTAGTTAAAGCATGTGATAGTATATTGAGATAAGGATTAGCGTTTGTGGTATATACTGATAGAGAAACCTATCTCAAAAAGTTTGACCAGAAGCAGGAAGATGTATGTAACTATAGGCCCAGGGAAATGAAAAAGCCAACTTAGTGGATCGCTACATGCGATTATTTATCAAATAAAATTAAATTCAGTTTCCCAAGTGTGTGTTTCTGGACTGGATCCCACTCAGATCTTTTAAGTGTAGTGCAACGCAGTCAGTTCTGCACAGGAGTCATTCTTTCCTTTGTTATGGCTGTTTTGAACAGCTGACATCTCCTGGTGATGACTCTAGAAAGAAAAGGAAGTGAATTTTACAGCCTGGTTTCTTCACATCATAATCGTTGCAGTTGAATGCAGTTGCATGAGCTGACTTTCCTCTGACGCTTCCCTTCCAGGCTCACAACCGAAGGAGCGCCCTCGCTCTGCAATCCTTGCTCCTGATGAAAACACCGTAACCTCAATATTCAATAACAGGAGATCACAACAGCCTACAGCACTTTCGAAAAGTGTCTCGATACAGAACATTGCAGGGTAAGGTTTCCTCCTACCCACATGAGTCTGCGTGAGTTATCTGACACTGCAAGCACAGGAGACACTTAGATCTCATTGAAAATAAATTCAAGTACTATGATTTGTGTTAAAGGTACAAAAGAGGATCACAAAACCAGAAATACCCATGTTACGTATTGATACCATCAGTTGTCTTCTGCAGAATCAGATTGTCTGGGCTAGTTTAGTCATGGCTTGAGTTCAGAGGCATCTGAGTTGACCTGGTTCTATTCAAGGTCACTTCATAGAGATGCTCTGGAAGGTAATTCCCTCGCCTTGGGCTGGGCACTGTGCAAACACAGGTACAGCGTAATAAACTTCTGTGTCCATAACAATAAAGTGGAGGTACAGAGCTGCAATCTTCATGGTGTTTTAGGACTGCATTGTACCCAATTAATTACAAAAACCAATGGAAGAAAATCCGATTTATGGTTCCTACACTATGTGCATATTCAGCAGTTCTACTCACAGGGCAATAGCGTGGACTGGCATTTTCTGGTCTGTTTGTACGCCCTGGCTCTTCGTGGTGAAATTCATTTCAGTCCATTTTTCTGATCTTTCTCAAAGCTAGTGATAAAGACTCTTGGATAGATCTTTGTGTTGCATTTTTGCACTGCTTGCACCAAGAACAGTGAGGATGGGAAGCAACTGTAATATGGAAAGGAATGGAAAGGAGTTACCCAAACCATAAAACCTCAGGTGTGATTCTTTATAGAAGAAGCACCATCACTTAGAACTCTCTAGATCTTAGTTTGTTGAGCCCCAATGGGTATTTGTTAGAAAACAATTAATAAACTTAAATTTCTGTACATAACCATGCAACTCTTGCTTTAGTTTTCAATTCATATTTAAAAATGCGTTTCTTCTGTGTACTTGCAACTGCATTTGGCTGTTTTTTATGTCATAAATTATATTCTGTGTTCTTTTTTTTTTTCTGCAGAGTCGGGAATGATGACAACTTAATAAACACTTGGAAATTCCTGTCGCAGTCAACAGACTCCTTAAATAAAATCAGCCGGGTTAATGAGTCCACGGAATCACTGGTTGATGAAGGTAAGAGACTCCCATGGCGTTTTTAGCAACAGAAAGCTCTGAGTGCTGCTTTCCAGAAATAGAAAATCCATTTTGGCATTTCAGCAAGTGTTTTCCTTTCTAATGGACAATTAAAGTGCATTTACTTTAATCTTAGAATATTAGTATGATAAACTAAAACAAAGCCCCACATAGTAATTTCTTTAGCTTGTTGAATTGTGGGAAAACATTTAAAAGGTTTCAGTTACAATTGAGTTACTTGGAATTTAGCTCAGGGACAAACATTTCCTCTTTCATTCTGTGCCTCTGGCCCATTCATGCAGCCACAGATTTTGCACTTTGTCACCTTTTTCGTGCTGATGTCTTGCATTTTGTATTTTTCCCAGCGTGGGGAAGGAAGAAACATGTTGTTTAGTTTTTGAGGGTTTGAAAGTGAAGTCAGTTAAATTAATTTCTTAAGTTTAAATATTTTTATGTTGTGCTTTTTGTAGAATATAATCAGTATTTTTACATCTTTGCCAATATTTACCTGACAAGAGCTGAATGGTCTTAATTTATTAAGGACTAACCTAGGGCACATTCATGGTGACAAGAAAAAATTCCCTGCAAAAGTTCCTGCACAAATGAGCAGTCTTAAAGATATATATGTGTATGTGCAATGTATGAAGTGTTTGCTTCTACCTGCATCAGTTCTAGCTTTCTAGGCTTGAGAACACAGACTTCACATAGGTCTAAGTTCTCTCGATTCAGTGATGTAAATAACGAAAGACAAACTGGGTATTGTGGGGTGTTATATATCTGAAATGTTGTTGCATTATAGATAAAGAATCCTTGTCTCTTATCTGAGCTAGAATTTGGTCTGTGCAAAAATCATGAAATAGTTTTGTGCAAGTAGCAAATAACCTTTAGAAGTGCTTTTCATGACCTGGTCCTGACGTGGTATAATTCCATAGGATCGTTTTTCTGTCAGTAAAGGACAATGTTTGTGATGGCTGTGGTATGAGAGAGAAAGCTTAAACCTAATGAATAGACAGGAACTCTCAATTGAGACAAGTTACCCACATCTTAATGGCACTTGCTTTGCTTTGTGAAGGTGCAGACATGAATGAGGGACAGCTGATGGGAGACCTGGAATTCGATTCCAAGCAGCTGGAGGCAGAGTCCTGGAGCCAAGTAGTGGACACCAAGTTCTTACAGCAGCAGAACAAAGATGTTGTCATGCGGCAAGATGTCATTTACGGTGAGAGATGCCTGAATCTTAATTTTTGACTCATTGTAGTTAGCTTCTTGATATACTCACATGTATGGATTTGGGAAGCTTTAGGTCAGTGCATAGGAACATTGACTTGGTTTCCTCAGAAGCCAAAGTTTCATTCTTTAAGTTCTTAGAAATGTAATGTATTCTGTGAAAGATTTCCTTCTGTCTTTCACATATCTGAAAGCCATCAAAAAAATCAGAAATTGCCTCTCCTCATTTGTCTGCTGATGACATTTAAACTCTGTTAGAGCAGAGCAGCTGGCTGGGAAGTCTTCTCCTGCTGGATGCAAGAGCCATCCTGTCTGGCAAAAGCGCCCTATGTTGAGGCTAGCAATGAGGTGTTAGGAAGGAGCAGTTAATAGTGCCAAAGGTTCAGACCTTGGAGCAATATCCAAAACTCTTTGTTGTGGAACTTCTCTGCTCCCCCCATTTCTCCCACATTTGAAACTGTTGATTGATGTTTAAATACCTGACACAATATTTTCTGAATCAACTTTGAGAAGCTCAGTGATGGAAGAGCTTTCCAATGGCAGCTTTTTCCTTGTACTGTACGCCCATGTACTCTACAATGTCCTTGATTCTGACCTTGTCCTCATCCTGTACAGAGCTAATGCAGACTGAAATGCATCACGTCCGCACCCTGAAGATCATGAACGATGTATACAGCGCAGGGATGTTGAAGGAACTGCAGTATGATCAACAAGTCGTGGACAAGATCTTTCCCTGCCTGGAAAACTTGCTGCACATCCACAGTCACTTCTTCCAGCGGATTCTGGAAAGGAAGAAGGAGTCATTGGCAGACAAAAACGAAAAGAACTTTGTTATAAAGAGGATAGGTGACGTCTTGGTGAATCAAGTAAGTGCTGGAAAATGCTTGCACTTCTGAGAACACAGCTGGAAACCAGGCGCTCCTCCTTCGCCTGTTAGATAATCACAGCTGATGGCACCTTTACTCTTCACACACGTAAAAAATCTCTGCCTCTGCTTTTTGAAGCACTTTTCACTCTTTCAGAGGAAGGTCTAATGGTGAAAATTCATTTAGTTTATTTTGTGGGCAAGAGAAGCATTCCCTAACAGACACAGAACGGTTTGGACCATAGCCTGGAGGGTAGGCAGTAGCCCACAGCAAAATATGCCCAACGTGTTTCTTGGCCGAGTTACTGACCTGCTGTGTTTGACTTTGGTTGGATCATTTTACTTTATCTGCATTTTCTTTCTTATTCTTGTTGTCTGTCTTGGCTTTTTTGTTGTTGGCTCTTAAGCCTTGTAAGTAGCACCCCAAATTTTGTGGCAAGTGTGAAGTCCCAAACTCAGCTCTTATTTTCTAGTGATCTACTTGCTTGGTTTAGGATGCTTTGGATTGATTTGGTTTCATCGAGCTCTTTCGAGAGACTGGCAGGCACTGCTGGGGTATCACACCAGGAGCGCAGTGCAGATTGGACCTCTCTGTCTCATGTCTTGCAGTTCTCCGGTGAGAGCGCTGAGCGAATGAAGAAAACATACGGCAAATTCTGCGGGCACCACAATGAGGCAGTAAATAACTTCAAAGATTTGTACTCGAAGGACAAGCGGTTTCAGGCATTTGTCAAGGTAGGACCTGACAGAACAGACATAGAGTATGTCCTTTCTGCACTCTGCTCTGTGCTTTGCTACAGAACTGAAATTTCCATCTTTGTTCCTTAGAAAAAAATGAGCAGCTCCCTGGTGAGGCGTCTTGGGATTTCTGAATGTATCTTGTTGGTAACACAGAGAATCACAAAGTACCCAGTCCTGTTACAAAGGATCCTGCAGTACACCAAAGGTAAGGACTAGTTCTTCTATTCTAAGTGTGTATTTGTTCCTCCAGTGTAAATTTCTTGGATACTTTTCAGCTGAAGTAGTTTTTCTTAGAATAGACCAACTAATCCAGTCATTATTGTCTCACACTGCTGTAATGAGATAACTCAGTTTCATATCTCTGTTTAGGATTAGTTATTTGGGTGCCTTGATTTGGTTGCTCCAGGTGTGTCTCTAGTTAATTATGGAGCAACATGCTTAGACTCCAAAGTCTCCCTGCTTGCTTTTTTTGATAGTGTCTAAAATATGTGGTTAATTTATGCTTATCATCTGTACCATCTCATATACAAAGTATACGGGAATAGTCTCGAACCTCAACTGTGTATGTGAAAGGCTTTGTGAAACTCTCCTTAAGAGGGAAAATACGCAATCTTATCTCAGGAAAGTATTAAAAAGTTATAATATGGGAATTTGGGAGGGAGAGGAGGAAGGACAGAAGTAAAATCAGGAAGTCAGAGTCCGCAAGGGTGAAGTGAAATCGAGGTGTTTCTCTTTCTGTTCAAAGAAAATGAAGTGGAACACGAAGATTTGACTCAGGCATTAAACCTCATTAAAGATATGATCGCTGCAGTCAATAACAAAGTCAGCAATTACGAAAAGAAAATGCGTCTTAGTGAGATTTACAACCGGACGGATAGCAAGTCCATCATGAGGATGAAGAGCGGCCAGATGTTCGCAAGAGAGGACTTGAGACATCGGAAGCTCATCCGAGATGGGCCTGTTTCACTGAAAAATGCAGCTGGCCGCTTGAAAGGTAAGACTGTCCAGCATTCTGCAGTGCAAGAATACAGCTTGTCCTCTCTGAGCGTAGGATTAGTCCTCAGATTGGTGTCTCCAACCTTTATTTACTCTTTTGCTTTGAGGGGTTTTGGCAGCAGCTTTCCGTGTTGTACGCTCACTTCCCATCACAGCATTTCCAATTCTTCGTGTTGCTCCTGGGGTGATGGCTGCTTTTTCTCCTGGTGACTGCCCAACTCCTGAAGCCTTGGGTTGCAGTCACACCTTGGTGCATCAGCCAAGGAGCAGAGCAATTTGGGGATCCTTTGGGCCAGGATGGGGCTGCAGTTGCCCGGAGCAGTGAGTCAGACCTCGATGCCACCGAGTACATGTGCAGCGGTTCCAGGAAGCATGCTCACTGTGTCTGACTGGCAGCCTCAGCTTCCCCATGGCTCTGCCCACCAGCACCACTGCCTTTCCTTTGCTCTGTCTGCAGTAGGGCTGCCCAGGCTCAGCATTACCTTCCCAGTTTCAGTGGGACTCCAGAGAGTTGTCCCAGGCATTTACTGCTCTTGAACCTCTTGAGCTGCTCACGGAAACTCTTCAGAAGATACTCTGGTGTCCCTGCCGCTGCTTTTTGCTTGGTTGATGTTTTCTTGAATTGTCTTTTTTTGTTATCGACTGGAAATAGCTTCTCCAAGGTGCTGTGCTCTGCCGAATGTTGAAGTTAGCAGTGAATTAAGCACTAAATCTCCCAAGGAAGCCTTCAGCAAGGACCATGGTAGCAGTAAGACCAGGCAAGGTATTTTTAGCAGGAAGGCTGGGCTGTCCTTCTCTTGTTTGCACCAACAGCTGATTAAACCAGGGTATTTGGGCATGAGTGGGGACTGGTAGCCAGGTTCAATGCTGTGGTGGTAACACCAAATTCCGTGTCTGGTATGATTTATTTTGAAGTTTTAGAAACAGGAAGTTTACAGATGGTTTCTAGGCACCCAAGATTACTATTGACTTTAGATGGTGGATGAAGCAAGTTATGCCGCTGTTGTGAAATCTTGTGATAAGTACAGGCTGCATTTGCATTTCTAAGTCATAGAAATGCATAAACATAACTGTCTGTAGTGCAAGCTCCCAGCGAAAGCAGATCCTGTAGACAAGCTGCAGAGCCCAGTAAGAGTACTCGTTCATACATTCAGGCTGTTTTGTGGGGTTGGAAATGGAGCACAGAGAAGTACAGGAAGACGTTTTCTTGGAGGTTTTTAGCATTTCCCCTCTTGCAAAATGCACAGATAGAGAAGAATGGAGTCAAATGCCAACTTTTGCAAAGCTCCCAGAGCTTCGAGTTCATTTTGTAGCTTTGATTAAAGTTTGGTGGTTCTTTTAGCTGGAACAGATCCCGTCTTCCCAAAACTGAATGGAAGGAATTACCCACGGGATGATTTAACTTTCTGGTTTGCTTCCTCTCTATCACAAGATTTCCCAAGTACATTTCACAAAAACTCTTTGTACTGAGGGCTCTGGGTGGGGCATTGTACTTGGTAGTTGCTGTGCAACTTTGTGATATGTCATTAGGAGACTTGGAAGACTGTTCATGTACTCTGGGAAAAGGCTGCATTCTGATTTAAAATCCTCTGTTGGCTTGATGATGTGCCTCCTTCTCCCGTGAAAGCAAGCTGGGTCCTGCATCTCACGCAGGCTCTGTTGGCTCCCCTCGGAGCCTGCGAAGAGTTGTGTTTGTCTGCGAGCAGAATTAGTGGTGGCTCCTGAAGTCCGTATTTCCTGGGAAAGAAACTGCAGCTGACAAATGCTGTTATTGCACGGTAATTTACACTCTGCAAACCACTCATCAAGAGAACCATAAAAGCCAAAACTTCCTGTGCAGATATTTTGCTTGAGGGCTAAAATATTGATTGTTTGAGAAAACAGCGCTTCTATTCAGTGTCTCTAGCTTTTGCTGTTATGTCCGTGCCCTAACAGTTAGAAAGCATGAGGCTGGAGAGGAACAACCCTGCTCTGACCGATGAAAGGAAACCCTGCAGTTTCCCCGTGTGCTGTTGTATTCTGTGTAATGCAAAGTCGGTTCAGAGCGAACCTGACCCAGCATCTCCAGGAGCTGCTGCTGCTCCTCCTGTTGACCAGGAGGCTGACCCTGCTTCCAGGATTTCCAAAAACATCCCTACCAGTCCCCAGCGCTGGTGTTTTTAAAAGAGAGATCTGTTTTGGGGTGGGTTGCATGGTTATACTGCACTGGTTTGCTTTTTTCTCTTGCAGAAGTCCAGGCTGTTCTCCTCTCTGACGTGCTCGTATTCCTTCAGGAGAAGGACCAGAAGTATGTCTTTCCCTCACTGGTAAGGCTTCGACCTTTTCTCCTCCTTCCTTTTTCACATGAGAGACCCTTCATGTGTGTTGTGCAGTGAAACCAGCCGTTGCCTGCTAAACAACTTAAATTTCTTGCTTATAACGTTATCGTTTGACGAGCAGACTCCATTCTTTTTGATAGGAAAATATGTCTTCATGCCCCACCTCCCCTTTCTGCAGTGCCTTGGCACAGCTGATAATTGGCCTGTCGCCTGATACACTTACTCCTTTTCATTTTGTGCAAATTGAAGCAGTGATTGCAGTGGGAGGGGGCAATGGGATAATGCAAACATTGTAAAAATGAATCTCGGCAGAAGAAAATGTCCTAATACATTGTGAGCTGCTATGGAGGGGGAGAAAAATGCTACTGCAGTAAATTCAACAGAACAGCTTGCAAATAAATGTCAGAGGAATTATATTTGTAACGCATAAAACAAAAAACATTAGCTTTTGAAGGCAGACCTCATAAAAGGGCCAGGCACGCTGACCTGCTAAAGAAAACCTGATACCTAAATGAGTCTGCTGGGGCTGTGCCTTGCAGGCATGGTCTAGACTGGCTAAACCTTGTGACCTTTCCACCCTGTGAACATTTTGAAAGCTGATGATTTGTTATCCCAGTTCCACCACTGATCTGCACAGCCCCGGTGCCCTGCGCTGGAGGAGCTGATTTGCAGACAAGTCCTCCAAGTGAACCATTACCAAATACCCCAGTGCAGCATCTTGTAAATGCACAAAGGGGCCGACTCCTGCGCAGGCAACACAACAGCAAAGGGACGTTTTAACCAAGCAGGCTGATTACACAGAGACCATAGCACACAATGAACGTTCTCTTAAACATAAATCGTAGGAGTCAGCTGTGAGCTTCTGAGAACAGCAGGGGGTTTGTAGGATTTGAAAACGAGGATGTTACTCCATCCCAGAGAGAGATCACAAAAATAATGTGTGTGAAGCAGGCGCTAGCAAGCTGCACTGTGTTTAAGGAGCTGTGATATTAATGACAGCAAGTGTAGGCAGAAGGAGGTGAGATCAAAGGTCTGCTGGAGTTAGAGCAAAATGCGGTAGAGTTTGCAAAACCACAAAGTCCATTTTAAATTAATTCTTTGTTGAAATGTAACGAGGTGAAATTGCTTTTCCTACAGGACTGGTGGAGGAAAGCAAGCCCTTCCATGTTCTTAGACCTCATTAAAATGATTTATTTTTAATTACCAAATAGGTTCAGAAAATGTTTACAACCTGAAAGAGGTAGCAGTATGGGTATTGGGACCATTTTAATGCTAGTTTGCATCTGGGAACTAACACCGTTCACCCTTTTCATCCATTTCTTTCCATCCGTAGGACCAGAAATCCACTGTGATCTCTCTGAAGAAGCTGATCGTACGGGAAGTGGCTCATGAGGAGAAGGGCTTGTTCCTGATCAGCATGGGTGTAAAAGATCCCGAAATGGTGGAAGTCCATGCCAGCTCCAAAGAAGAGCGTAACAGCTGGATACAGATCATTCAAGACACAATGAACACCATGTAAGCTACCAAGCTGTTCTCACAAGGCAGGTGATGCACACGGTCATGTTCTGGTAGTAACTGAGACGCGTCTCTTGTCCAGGGATAGAGATGAAGATGAAGGAGTCCCTTGTGAGTCCGAGTTTGAAAAGAAGGTGTCGGATGCGAAAGTGAGAGGACTGAAAGGTAAAAACCTGCCTGGGACAGAGCTGAGGAGCTGGTTTGAAAAATTTACAGGAATTGTGCTGGGTTTTGTGGTTGGACTATGACTTTTTGCAAAGGAGTGAGAATCCTGCATCCAGCAAATAAGTGCAATCCTTGTTTGGACCTCACCTTGCTTGCATTATTTTTCTGTGGGTGCGCTGGAGCCGTTGCCGTGCAGCATTGCACAGGGCATGGCTGTATCTATCATCAGGTTCCACTAGATGGGGCCAACATCTCAGGAATCGCTCTGGTTCCTTGCTGAAGCTTTTATTTTCTGTCTCCATCTCTGTTTTCTGTTCTCCCCCACAGAACAACTTCAGCAGAAGGATAAGCAGATCCTCCTCTTGCTGGAGGAGAAGGCCAAGATCTTCCGGGACATGGCAGACAGCTCTGTGCAAGAGGAAATGCCAGGCTCCAGGCTGCTCTTCAGAGCCAACACAGAAGAGGCACCAAAAGGAGAGGCCATTATGAAAACAGCAATAAATGAAGGTGAGCAAGTCAGGGTGATGTGTTAATTACACTAACCAGCGCACCCGTCTGCAGTGAAGCCATCAGTCCTCAATCACCAGTTTTCTCTTCGTCAAAATCACTGCACAGATAAGGAGATACTGTGCTACTCACAGTACTGTCTCAGGGACAGGTAATGAGGATCAGGAAAAGAAGCAGATATTGATGGCTGTTGAAAGAGGGCAGAAAAGAAGTCAGCACAGAGAGCAACCATCCACTGAATCAGCACTAGGGTCAGGAGCAGCACAGGATTTAGCCTTGGCTGAAATTTGGACCGTCCAGGCTTTTGCTGTGTTTCAGTCTCAGCAAAGTGTGAGAAGAGGGGGCGTGGGATCCAGCAGGCCAGGGACAGGCAAGTCTGTGGACAAAGGAGAGGGCAGGTGGAAACTCGGGCAACTTTCTGGTGTGATTTTTGGAGAGGCTAAAAATTAAATGCTCTTGTAACAGCATTGTTGTAACACCAGGGTTGCCTGGAAGAAGAGAGGGAAGCGTAAGCCTGTGCAGAGCTCCAGGAATTGGAGTTAATGATCAGACAAACTGAGATTTTGCAGGGGGAATGCTCACTGTTCATATCGTTGTCATAAAAACATGGTTTCTTAGTGCAGTGAAACCAAAGAATTTCTGACCTGAGATCAGGTAGGAATGAAAATAGCTCAGAAACCTGAGGTGGTCTTCAACAGACATATTGTTGCTTTTTTATCAGTTGAACTGCTGCAAGACCTGGTGAACAGGAGCCTGGGCACTGCCCTGGGGCAGCAGGTCAGCAGCGCTGCCCTGGAGCAAGAAGGAGGAGTTGGCCCCATCTCTCTCCCCAGGAGGGCAGAAACTTTTGGAGGATTCGACAGTCATCAGATGAACGCCTCCAAGTGTGAGTAGTTACGTGTGTGCACATCAGCATTTGTTAATAAGACATAATGTCATCCTATCCTCTTGCTTCAGAAAGACTCCAGCAGCTGGTGATTTGTGTTTCCCAGGTCCTCTCCAATAGTTGTTGATAGGTTAAATAACAGATAAGGGGAAAAAAAAAAGCGTATGTAGAGGTGGAATGATGGTTATTGAAAACCCATGGCTATCTGAGGATTAAACACCTGAACCCTTCACTCCTCTCTCTGTACTCTCTCAAATCAAGCTTACTCCTTTACTTACATGCCACATGAAAGCATTTAGCTTCTTAATTAGATTAGTTTCTTCATGTTCCTATTGTAATACCTGCAGCTCTCCTCTTCATTCTTCAGTTATCTTCCAGCAGGAACCTGGTGCTGTTGCAGTTGGGAATGGATGAGGATGTTACTGAATCAAGCACCTTCTCCCCTGGCTCTGCTCTCTGTGCATTTGTGTTCCACATACAACTGCATGTGTTATTCCTGCAATTAAGTCTCCCAAAAAAATGTGTGAATATTTATTTCAGCTGCGTAGTTGGCTACTTCCCAAAATTCTCTTTCTTTGCCCTAGTCATCAGAAACCTCCCTGTCCTCAAATTCCTTTCTCTGTGGTCTCACTCATACTCCCAGTACAGCCAGTTTTGCTGCGCTAGTGTCTGTCTCAACATTGGGATCGTTGGACCTCGTCTGACCTTCTGTATTAAAGGAGCAGTGTTAGCTCCAGACAGTCAGACATGAGAAGTATGTAGAGGTTTTCCCAGCTCTATTGGAAAGCTGCAAAGCCCTCCGCAGGCCTTGTCATCATAATGACAAATATATTCATGCTGGAGGGGTTTGTTTAGGGTTGTGCCTCTCTGTGTCGCAGTGATGAATGGGGCAACCTCAGGCTGTTCCTTCCACAGCTCTGGGTTTCCTGTAGAAATGTCCTCTTTTGAATTAGATTGTAATTCATAGTTCTAGGACCTTGGGAGAATATGGGAAAAGAATGTGGGGCCTGTTTGTTCAGCTGGAGGCCAGGAGGCATGAAACCTGGCTTTCATCTCCAGTTCTTCTGTTCACAACCTGCGCAGCCTTGGGCAAGGCTTATAACTTGACTCCCCTTCGTTCTGCCCTCCAGCAAAGCAGAAGGGAGGTGTTTCCTCCTGCAAAGAGGTAGAAGGTCCCAGGATGTGATGCATGAGAGAAGGTCTGTTAGGAGGACTTGAGGGTCAGCCTTTAATAGCAAAGCCTGCCTGGGGGTGGTGGGAGGAGAGGGCCTTTGCAGAAGGTATGATTTCCTTCCCATTGCTGCAGATATAGGTGTATGTAAAGCTGTTTATCATAAAAAGAGTGGCAGGAGGGAGGTTCCTAGTGCAGGTGTGGGGTTTCCCCATGGGCTGCCTCTCAGCTGGCAAGAGCTAGGGGACCCAAGAGCCATGCAACTTCACAGCCACGAGCAGAAGGGCAGCGCAGGTGAAGGGTTGCAGCCCTCTCGGCCCCACAGGTCAGAAAGATAAGTCCAGTGTCCCTTTGGAGATACAGGTTTCTGATAACTAAAGCTAAGGAGAAATTATTAATATAAAATTACACAGCGTGTTGCGCAGCAGTATCTGACCCAGCTGTAAATTGCATTTGAACAAGAAAGGCATTGAAGCTATACCTACAATAATATACCCAGGGATGATACCATTATTGCTCTTCATCTTCTCTTATTCTGCCTCCTGTCTTCTCAGCAAGTATTCTTTGGTAGTAGACAGCAGTGCGGGGGCTAGACAGAGTACAGTTAATAGGAGTGTGCTGAATTCATCAGCATGTTGTCTGAAACCAAAGTCAATCCTAATCTGAATTCAGATCCACTTTTCCTGGTGGTGCTGACATGTTCTGTATATGTAGGGAGCAAATGTATTTAGTAAAAGTGTCAAGAACTCTGTGTCCCCTTTTGTGAAACATCTGAGTTTCCTGTATTAAATTTCTCAGACATTAGCAAGTTCATCTGTGGCTTAAAATGTCAAATAATCAGTGTCAGTGCTGCCTTCTTCCTTTAGGTGGAGCGAAAGATGAAGGCGATGAAGCTCAGGACCTGCGGAGAACAGAGTCAGACAGCATTTTAAAGAAGGTATTTCTTGGTTTAGCTGTCTGCTACCTCTGAGTTTAGATTTCAAGGGAGGGGCAATTCAAGTCTTGAAAAATGCCTGAATTTCTTGACAATTAGATGTATCCTAATAATCTAAAAAAATAAAATAAAATTGGAAGTATGCAGCCAAAACCGCTTTGCTGTAGCTAAAAATCCTGACTTGAAAACCATTGCAAATCAGTAGTATTCCTTTGTGGCACAGGTTATCTGCCATCTGTCTGCAGATCAGCTAAAGCATGTGTTTAATTATGCATCGTTATTGAAATGATAAGGTCAACTATAACCTTGCACCTAATCTTGCTGTGGATTGATCCATCATATAACTACAAAATGATACCCAATTAACATTTTATTTTGTAAGAATTTAACTTGCCTAAAAAACATGCACGAATTCTCCCAGAATGGAAGATGGAGGGGGGTTTAATGTGTCTGTCATTAGTTCAGCTTCAGAACACACTTGCTGTGATTTCTCATTTGTCCTCATATTAAATCTGTGATCTTTTCATAGGGTGGAAATGCTAATCTGATGTTCATGTTGAAAAGGAATAACGAGGTAAGAATTGATTCTATTGCTCAGCTGTTTCCTTCATTTAAGTGGCAAGTGAATTTGTCTCAATAGGTGATAATGTAGAAGAAAATACATTTCATTTGCCGAAGCACATGTAGACTTTTAAATACATTAGGCTGAACCCACTGTGTTACTTATTTGTTTAACCTTGGATGTTCAGATAGGGCATTCGCTGATTGTCATCTGCTCGCCAGCAGGATGCTAGGTACTGATTACAGGCAGCAAGGGTTAATTACCACTAGGATGCACAGGGCTGTATTTATTGTGCATCTGCAGACAGAGGGAGTTTAATTTTATGTTGCAGGTGCAGTGAATGGGGGCAATTAGATTTCTATTCTCCCTTTGATACACATTCATAACTCCCAATTAGCATTAATGGCAAAAAGAGAAGCAGTTCTCTTTATGCTGGCTATCACACCACTATTGCCGGTACGCCAGTGGTTTTTCTTCTTAAAAGTTATTGTAGGATATGAGAGATGCAGATAAATTTTCATCTGGGCTAAAAATACATGGATGGGATGGCCATACAGCTTGTCTGGCCCACGAGTGGGTCACAGTGGAAAAGGAGAGTGGGTGCTTTATGCGTACCCTGGCACCCAGTGAGATCTAATAGCAACGCTTTTATTTTCTCGCAGCAGGTCCTCCAAACCATTACCAGCCTCCATAAGCTGCTCAGTGCTTTGCAGGTAGGCTTGGCTGTTCATCCTGCTATTGCATGCCGCTTGCTCAAACTGCACATCCCGCCAGTCAGTAACAGCCACTCGCGCTTCATCCCCATCTCCGCTTCTCCTATGCTTGTCACATCCCTGCGTGGCCAATTATGCTGCAGGCAGGTTGTAGGAATGAGCTCCTCCCTAAGTGAACCAGTGCTCACCTGAATTTGGGAAGCTGCTTGGGGGAGATGCTCTGTCAGCATCCTCTGGTAGCCATGCCGTAAGGCAGCAGTGCTGAGCTATGAATTTGGTGGGAGATTAAAGGATTCGATATAGCACCCTGAGGTTTTTGGGGATGGAGCCTCTCTCTGTGGAGAGGGTGTTGCAGTGATTTGTGTCCCCTCTCTCCTAGGGCGTCGTGCTGCAGCAGGACACCTACATTGAGGACCAGAAGCTGGCTCTGAGCGAGAGGGCTCTGACCCGAAGCTTCTTCCGGCCAACCTCGCTGCTGGAGCAGGAAAAGCAGCGCAACCTGGAAAAGCAGCGCCAGGAATTGGCCAACCTGAAGAAACAGCAGATGCAGCACCAGGAGGAGCGGCGGAAGAGAGAAAAGGAGTGGGAAGTCCGGGAGAAGGAGCTGGCGGAGAAGGAGGCCCATCTGGCCCAGCGAGAGGAGCAGGTCCAGAAAGGGTGGCAGGATCTTGAGCGAGAGCGAGAGGAACTGCAGGTGAAGAAGGCCTCCTACCAGCTTGACCTGGAGAGGCTTCGCTCAGCGCAGAAGCAGCTGGAGAGGGAGAAGGCGCAGTTCAAGCAAGACATGGAGCAATTAGCTCAAATGCAGCAGGAGCCTGACCACAACCAGGTAAATGCTGCCAATGGCTGGGAAAGCTGTGCCCTGCAAGGAGCTCCTGGATGGCTCCTGGGCCAGCTGCATGCCAGCAGTGATAGACTGACACCAGCCCAGCCCTGGACACGCAGGGCCTGGTATTTAAAACTGGCTCCTTCCTTGCACCTGATGTGCAGGGCTGGGTTTGTTGTATCTCCAGAGCTGCCAAGGCGTTGCCAGTGTTGATTCAACATGGTATATTCAGGATGCCTGGCCACGTTTTTGTGCCATGTGTTGGTGGATGGCAGAGTGGAGGTGGCTGGCTTGCAGAGAAGATGCCCTAGGCAATTCCAGGAGGTCGGTAATTGCCACTGATTTTGGCTTTCACCCCATGGGGGCTGAGGTCTGGAGTGGTGAGGCAGATGAGACGTCCTTCTTGGAAACAGCCTGAGTGTTGTGAGTTACCTGCACCCTCCAGCTGTCACAAAAGCCACTTGCAAGGCTGATAAGTGCAGGGGAAAGCTGTTTGTACACTTACTTCCATCTCCAAAAGCGTTCTCAACAGCTAGCAAAGAGTTGGACGTCATCCCTGTCCTAAAGAGACCGGACACTTGCAGTCTGGTAATGACTCAGTGAGCAAAAGTTCCCAGCTCTGCTGCAAGGGGCTTCTGCCCCTAGCCAGGAAGAGAAGCCCACACACAGATCCTGCTCTGTGCATTTTTCAGCAAGCTGGGGTTTATTGCTCTGTGCAGCAATCTGGCTGAGGAGAGCACGCATCCGTTGGCAAAACATGGGCTGAATTTGATCCTCACGCCTGTTGTTGATCATTTGTTTGTTTGTAACTCACTTAATTCTGAATGTAATTTGCTTAGAACTGTTGCAAAATTAGTTTATAAATGTTGGATTGTGAAATGGAAATGATTTTGGGTGCCTGAATGGACTAATTGCGGAGCTCAGCAGCGAGTGCTGAAAAGCAAATCATCAGAGGAGGGCTCCCTCTGGAAGCCCTCAGGAACCCTCCCACCCTGGTTCCTGATCGGGCCTAAAGTTTTCTGAGTGCACAACGAAGCTGCTCCAGCATCAAGCACATGTAGACATGAGAGGGTCATAGATGCTATGGGAGAGGCTGAGAGGTAAAATAACTGTGAGGCCTGGGGGATCGGGAGAAGGAAGCACTTTTTGAGGCAGTTATTGTACTGACATTTCAGGGCTATTAAGAGAGGGTTCGGTGAGGCTTTGTTGAGCTGTTGTTTTGATCTTCCCTTTGAATGTGAGGGCTCAATTATATCCTGAGACAGCCGTTAGAGGGGGGGGGAAATCAGGAAAAATGCTTTTGCTTTCATCTCTTGCTTGGGAAGGCTCCCTTTGACACATGCCGCTCCGCTGCTCCATGCTGGTGTTCCCCTGCCGGAGAGGCACGCTTCTCCTTGGCCTTCTGCCACCGTCTGTGTGCACAAACGATGCAGGGTGAGTCCTGGTATTGAGATCTTAGAGAATATTTGCCCTTGGCTTGTTGATACATAGCATAGTACATGTAGGAGCAAAAAAAACTGGAATGTTACTCTTTATGTGCCTCGTTTCTTCATCTTAGACAGAGAAGGCTGCTTCTCTCATGGCTTTGCCTGGATAGGGGCCACTTTTTAACTGGTGAATGGGCTGGGTGTTCACAAGAACAGTCTCTATCTCAGTGGGGTGCAGGACACGCCTTTCCTATCCAGGTTCTCGGCTACCCCCTTTCATGCCCCAATGAGACACTTTTCTTTTCCTTTATAGCTTTCAAATCTACATGAGAAACTTGCAAGAATCCCCTCCCAGTCCAGCACTGACGACTCCTCCAAGCAGAAGAGCCCTTCCCTTCCTAAACAAGGGCACTTTGATGCAGAACTGTCTGTCTCCCCTAAAAGGAACAGTCTTTCAAGGACACACAAAGAGAAAAGCACTTTTCATTTGCTTAGCACAATAAACCAGACTAACAAGGCAGCTGAGGAACAGCCCCAGATGCCTACCCGCCTTTTCAGTTTAGCCAAACCAAAGGAGAAGAAGGAGAAGAAGAAAAAGGGCAGGGGACATCGCTCCCAACAGTCTGGTGAGTACCATAGGTGTGTTTTCAGGGTCAGTGAGGCTGACTTTTTCCTCCAGCTAGAAAACTTGTGGAAGCCATGAAATCTAGCCATGAAATGTGGATGGTAGCACAGGGATGGAGATCATCAGCTGTGATGAGTGGAGTTCCCAAGTTGATCTTCTGTGGGCTTTTCTGCCTGTTCTGCAGCCCCTGGAATTTGTCAAAGGGCCACACTCTGCTCCTTGTCCCATCCTCAGCAGCCTCCACAGGCTAGATTCTCTATTTTTCAGCTTGCTCTGCTGTGAGGAGGAAAATGTTCTGCTTCAGTGTATGTGCTTTCAGGAGCTGCTGCGGGGATGCTCCTGGCTGTGGCAGCCCCTGTGGCACTGCTGTCTGCTTTAACTCTGTTGTAGTTTGGGTGTGATACTGCAACACTTCTGGTGGCTTCTCCCTTGCCCTCAAGCCTTGTCTATCTTGTTTCTTGATCTGGAAAAAAAGAACATGCTTTTTTTCTTTTTCTCTCTGTTAGTTTTGCATCCCCTTAGGACTCAGTTCTGCGCCTCAAACCTCTGACCCACGTAAAATTTGATCTCATACCCTCAGATGACCAGCTTATCCATGCTGACTCACTGATGTTTCCTAACTTGTGCACAGGAAAGCTCAGCAATTGTGACATGTAACTTCATGGTAGCCCGTCAGGGAACTGGACATCTTTTAAGGTGCCCAGTGGATTGGGCAGAGAGCAAGGTTTCCATGTGCATGGATTCCTGCTCTGCCTGCTGTATTCCTGTATTCCCATAGTGATTCCTACCTGTTTTCTTTGTGCTGCAGATTCTCACTCATCAGAAGCACCTCCAGAGGGTGAGGAGATCTTCTGCTGAACACAGACGGTCCCATCAGCGACTTTTGGCATTGGTACCATGGACATTTCCCTGCCTGCTCCACAGCATGCATCCAGAGGTTTTAAATAAAACATGTTTTGAAGTTTGTTAAATGGTGGGAAAGGGTCTCTTTCCTGTGGTTTTGCATGAATTCTCACCGCAGAGGCTGACTGCACGGCAAATAGCACCGTCTCTCTGTGCAAACCTTGGGTTGAATGGATTGGGATGGATGTTTTCTGTCTCTTCTTACTGCTAAAGGATGAGAGAACAAAGCCTTAAGGGGTCTGTGCCTTCAAATTCCCCTTTTTTGGGGAACGTAACCAAAACCAAGCATTTAGCAAAAGATTAGGACTCTACAAATGGTGCGTACACACTGGCATATATAGATGTACTGTATATACACCTATATGTATCTATGTATCCTCTGGGATATGCTTACAGTCTGTACAGCCCAGCTCAGCACTGCCCATGGGGATAGGTGATACCTGATGACTTTCAGGGAGTGTGTAGATATTAAATATCTTGCCCTTACTGCTCCGATTGTAACGCCATGGACTTGCACATATTTTTTGTGCTGATAGTATATGGACTGTTTGGTTTCAGAAAGGTACCTTACAGCAGGAAGCAGTAACAGCATTAAATACAAAAGTTCAGAGGAAAAAGAATAAAATTTAAAGTAATGCTGAAAGATTTCCATGGGGCAGAGGATTTAAATGTCAAACCGTTTCCAGAATCGAGCAGAATGTCTTTGGGTATATTTAAAACGATGCAGAAAAGAGAAATTCCGTAGGCTTGTAAGCCAACCCCAGGGAGCCAGAACAGACAGTGTTCAAGTGGGAACAACTCTAAGCAACTTTTTTTTACACAGTCTTTGAGCTGCAGCTCACTCCTTCCTTTCCCCAAACTAAAGATGATTTTTTGCCAGAACATAGTTCTCCAGTTGAGACATCCCCTCATTACAAGGCTGATGACTTACTGGAGACATGGCTGAAAATCTGCTTTTAGGGACCTTTGTTCTCTTATTTCTGTTTTTCTTCCCCTACTTCTTGTGTTACCATTGGGCTTTGGATTTTGTCAGCTCCCCTTGCTCGTTTCTAAGGCAGGATGAGACAGCAGTGATTTCAGAGCACTTCGGTGAGACTGAGGGGACTGAGTGCAGTGAGTGGATTAAACTCCGAGGAGGTGGCTCCTAGTCCCTATGCCTGTGCAGTACTGTGCACTTACTAGCCGTTCTGGGGGAGAAAATACGTTCTTGTGGACAAAACCGCAGTGGGACAGGTCCAAAGGTCCATTTCCATCGCCATGGCTCTAGGGTGAAGGTGTCGGCGTGTCCCTGCATTGCTGCCAGCAGGAGGGGAAGGTCTGAGGGTGGCTCTCGCTGTGCCGACCGCGAGGTGTTTGTACAGCTGTTGGTACAGGGATGTGTTCAGCTTGGGAAAAGGAATGCAGCGAGCCAGATTTTTTCCCAAAATTATTGTTCTTCCAGATCCTCTCAGGGGAATTGTCCGAGCGGATTTATAAATGGTTATGAGATGCTATCAGCTTCAAAATAGCTCAGGGGTTTGCTCAGAGTTTAGAGCTGTCAAGTGCATTTCCTTTCCTACGAGTTTATCCTTAAAAAAAAAAAGAAATAATTCTCTTCTTGCACTATTGTTTGATTTTGGTTTGCTCTCTGGCTTCTCACAAGCGAGTTTTTGGGGGTCGGTGCTGGTGAGGATCAGCAGCATTGATGGTGAGGGGGATGCTTAGACTGGGCTGTCTTGGTCAGTGCAGGAATCCTGAACCGCCTGCTTGCTTTTGGAGCTCTCCAAACCATTAAGATGGAAAGAAAAAAAAAAAAGAAAAGAAAAGAAAAAAAGGAAGAAGGTTTGAGATTTATTTTTATTTTGCTTTTTTAAAATATTATTTGGTGCTTATTCTTAATTGCAAGCAGGGCTTGCAAAAAATATTTATCTTTCTGTTTATTTGAAAGAGTTCTTTTTTTTAAAAGGAGTTTACTTGGTTTTATTTTTTTATTTCTTTTAACATTTTATTTTGCTTCTGTTTGGGGGTTTGAGGGGTGGTTTGGTTTTTTCTTTCCTTTTTTGTTGTTTTTTTGTTTGTTTTTTTCTTACCAAGAGATTGGTAAACCAAGCGTTTGTATCTCCTTGGTTCCTACAAAACCAGGGCTTGGGCAGTGCTGCTCATAGCAGCCCGTGGTGTGCCCAGAGTTACACTATTTCAGCTGAGAGCTTTCTTCAAGGCAGAGCATCTTTGGGCCAGAAAAAGTCTGGAAAAAGCAGCAGTGACTTCAGACAAGACTCCTCCTATCAGTTCTCTTCCTTGTTTAAGTATTTTGTTTAGGCTTTCTCATACCTCTCGGAGGCGAAGGAAAAAGGAAAACATGGAGCATCTTGCAGCAATGAGAGGGTCCAGTCACTCGTCTGGGGAGATGCAGGCAGCTCTTCTGAACCTGAAAGGAGCTGGAGGAGGCATGTGCTGCTGTTGTGGTGTTACCTTTTTCATAAGAAAAACACTGATTTCTGCCCTTCTGTTTGTACATCTGCAAAAATGAATGTGCCAAGCTGAAATTTTTGGAAACCCAAGCAGCGTATGGCTCATTTACTGCTGTGTAAACAGATCAGGTCCCCCGGTATTTCTTAAAGCTCCCCTCCATCTGTAACAGCCTTTCCTGGTATGAACTTTTCTCTTCATCCCGCTGTTTCTTCCTCAGTCCCGATGTATCTTGAATTCGTGACATGGGAATGTCCCATTGCTCTGAGAAGGGCATCGAAAGGGAGACCCCAGGGCAGCAGGGCTGAGTCTCTGCCTGGCTTGACCATCTCTTCTGACCTGTGCAAATCAAAAGAGCATTCAGTGCCCCAGGTGAAAACAGTGCTTGTCAAGTGATCTCTGAAGGTCCCTGTGGTTCTTTCTCAAAACAACCACGGGCGTGAGTCAGAAATATACTGACCAGAAGTACTGCATATCAAAGCTTTTTGTGTCTTAAATTCTGGTGGACAGACCTTTGTCCCAGGAGGATGTATGTTAGGGTATGATTCACTTTTTTGGAACTAAGCCTTTGCTCCTACACCGCTTCCTCCTTCTTTCACCTTTAGGAAAGTGAGGGCTTGTTTTTATCTCTCCAGCCTTTTATTTTTCCCCTCTCGGGTTTTCTTTGGAAGGGCTTGGCATAGGTTTCCAGAGTCAGATTCCCACTCTGATCCCTGCAGGCTGCCTAGGGTTGTCTGCTGGAGTACAGTCCTAGCTTTATAGCACCGAAGCCTTTCCTCTTCCTGGCCTTAAAATCGTGTTTGCTCCAGTTCCATGCCTGGCATTCCTCCTGCAGTTGTTATAAACATGTTATTTTTTCAGCCCAGCTTCACGCTTTGGCTCCCAGAGCCTGGTCCCTTGATCCAACTTGGAGCACCCAAACCACCACATTTTGCATTGGGTTCCTGGGACAGAGTGGGTTCAAAAATGTCTGTGCAAAGCCCTTATGTTGGAGGAGGAAGAGGACCCCGCAAGGGCTCTCGGAGGTTTTTTGCAAGTGTTTCATGGAGGGGAAAAATCAGACTTTCTTTTCTTGGGGTTTTCTTCGCGTGGTCTTTATCAGTGCCCAGCAGGAGAGGTTTCAAGGACCAGGGAAGTGGAAGCGCGGGCTCAGATGAAGTACAGGAGCGGTCAGTATTAGCTGGGGGTGCCAGAATACCCCAGCAATAGAGAGTAGGTGTAGCAAACAGTGTGAGACTCGATGGAGTTGTGTGGGGTCAGCCTTGGCTTCTTTTAAAAGAAGTGATCATCTCAACATGTAACTCGATGTCACTTTGATGCCATAAAGCACTTTAAATGGAAGTGGTTTTGTCCCTTTTCATTTTGGTTACATGGAGACAATCAGCTTTGCCATTGCTCCCCCCTCTGCATCCCCAGCAAAATCTGAGCTGCAAGTAGGCATAGTCGTGGTTTGGTTTGGCTTTGCCCTGGGAGGGGAGGAAGGGCCAAGGTTTTTGTATTATTTTTATGCAAAGTGGGTGTGACTACAGTCCCACTGCAGACAGGGCGATTGGCAGGATCAGAGAGCTGGCTTCTGATGACTCAGGTGTATCCCTGGAAGAGCCCATACCAGCATCATCATCACCTTTTCCTTGGAGAAACCCAGAGCAAAAGAAGCGGAGGGAGATGCAACCCAGTGAGGTGAGGCCCTTTCCATGCACTAAATTATTTACTGTCCAGGCCATTAGGAGAGCTCCCAGGGGCCATCCCTGGGGCAGGAGCCCTCACCACCACAGAGTGGGCTCTGCTCTTCACTCTTGAAGTTTGACCACTGCTGAGGAGCACAGTGGTGCCATTAGCATGTGCAGACCTGTACTGCCTTTTGAAGGCGAGAGCATCCGTAGAGTCTGATCATCTTTGCACCTTCCTTGAGGCACTAGGATATCTCAGAGCTGTTGCTGAGGCACCCAAACCCAGTCCTTCCAAATGCCACCGAGTCAGAAGAGCTTCATCAGGTGCCAAATCCCAAGGAAGCTCTCTAGGAGATCTGTGACACAGCGCAAGGGGAGGGCTGGGCAGGGGACACAGGAGAGTATCTGCTAAAATCCCACAGAACATTCCTACTTAACCAGAACTCTGGAAATTATTCTCCCTGCTGGCCAGGTTTGGGAATTTAACATAATTTAAGGCATCCTTTTAAATAAAAAAACCTCCCCTGCTGCTCATAACTCTTGCTTCATTTGCCAGAAGGGGCAGCAATCAGTGATCCTGACCCGGTGGTGCAGCTAAGTTTTAAAGATAGGCGAGCTGAACTGACTTAATCTCGGACACGTCGTGCTCTGGAGTGATGGGAAGCATAACGCTGGCTCCCTTCCCGCCTGCTTTTTCGGGGCTCGGTGCCCTTTCTTTCCACACGCATTTCACTGGCACTGATGCTTTGCCCAAATATATTCAGCTTCCATTGCTTGGGGGGTGGGGGGATCAGGAAAACATTCACTGCTTTGCATACAGCTGTAAGCTTCGTATGTATTTAAGCTGCCTATAGGTATTCATCCTTTCCATGCTTGAAAGT